GAGGAGAAGGCTGGTAGCGCCCTGCCCAGCGGGAGGCGGCCGGCAGCGCCCTGCCCAAGCCCTGGGCCGCCAGCGGCAGCCTGGCGCGCGAGGCCCCAGGGGCTGGCGCTCTCCCCCGCGGGCGGTCGAGGGACGGAGGGGACAGGAGGCGGCACGAGCAGGAGCAGGAGCAGGAGCAGGGGGAGAAGGAAGAGGAGGCGGTGGAGGAGGAGGAGGTGGAGGAGGAGGAGGAGGAGGAGGAGGAGGAGGAGGAGGAGGAGGACCAGAGCAAACCCAAGAGTCATCAACGATGTTGGAATTAACCTCCCTCCAAACTCCCTCTTCATAGGCCCCTACAACGGTTCATTTCCATTGGGGGAACTGCCCTGTTGGAAGACAACCGCTTCAATACCTTGAAGCATGCCAAAACATTGTTCGCGGGATTTCAACGCCAACGCAACTGATCAATATGATTGCTGCGTTTGACGATCCGGAATCGTGCCAGAACGCCGTTTTGGGGTTTTAACACCGCGTGCCAACATAACTGTTGCACCCGCATAATCTTGAATACTTCCAAACCACCATGTCTGGTATGTTCATCATGGGAACCCGTGAAACCCTTACAACATTTTACAACGAATGTGCGCGGCGCTAAGGCGGAACCGCATCTTGAAAATGACCCGCCCTCAATCCGTGAAGCTCTCTGAAATTTTCAAAACGAATATGCGCGGTGCTAAGGCGAGAACCACATTTTGAAAACAACCCGCCCTCAATCCGTGAAGCTCTTACGAATCTTCAAAACGAATGTGCGCGGCGGTAAGGCGAGAGCCACATTTTGAAAGCGACCCGCCCTCCATCATAGTCATGAGTTGTGAGGAAGTCTCAGGTGGAATGCCCGGCCCGCCCTAAAACCTGGCCTCGGGGTGCCACAGGGAGAGGTTATCTATAAGGAAATGAATGGAGGAGGAGGAGGAGGAGGAATAATAATAATAATAAGAAGAATAAGAGTAATACTAAGAACAATAATAATTATAAGAATAATAAGAATAATAAGAACAAAAGTACTAATCATAATACTACTAATATTACTACTAATAATATTAAGAATAATAAGAGGAAGAGTAAGACGAATCATAATAATAATAACAACAATAGTACTAGTAAGACTAATAATAATAATACTAATAATAACAACAGCAATAACAATAACAATAACAATACTAATGATATTATTATTAACAATAATATGAAGAGGAGGAGGAGGAAGAGGAGGAGGAGGCAGATGAAGAGGAGGAGGGGGAGGAGGAGGAGGAGGAGGAGGAGGAGGAGGAGGAGGAGGAGGAGGAGGCGGAGGAGGAGGAGGAGGAGGAGGAGGAGGCGGAGGAGGAGGAGGAGGAGGAGGAGGAGGAGGGAGGACGAGGAGGAGGAAGAGGTCCCCATGCTCCACCCCACCGGTTCCCATCCCGTACCCCGTGTCCTCCTGTCCCCCTTCTCTTCTCCTCGTTTTTCTCGTTCCCTTCCCCTCCTCCATCATCCCTCTCGTCATTGTCGTCGTCGTCGTCGTTTTTTTCATCGCCGCTGCTGCCATCGCCCCTTGCCGCGCGCCGCGCGCCAGGCTCCCTCTGCGCCGCGGGGGGGCAGGGAGGGGGCCCCAGCTTACGCAGACAATTGCCAGATGAGGGGAAGGATGGGATGGGACAGAGACGAGGGCCGGAGTAGGGGAGTGGAAGGAGAAGAGGGAGATGGAGAACTTTATACAAGTTTGTTTACTCTGGGAATTGTTGAACGTTTTAATGTAGGGCAGCTGGGAGCAGCCGAAACCTGTAAGGGACCCTGTGCAGAGCGCACCTGCGCGCAGGTGCACACTGTCCGCTTTGGCGTACAGAGTGCACCTGCGACCCCGCACGGCTTCCAAACCAAGCTGTCCCGCCGTGGGGGATGCGAAGAAGTCGGATCGTACTCTCCAAGGAAGTGTGCAACGGGAGCCCCGTTTCGAACACGAGGCACCGTTTATCAGTGTAGTTGTGGTAACGTTCTACTTATCATATTTTCTAGAGCCTCGATCGAGAGCCCCATTTTGGAAGGGGGCCGCCCTCCGTGGCAGATGTTGCACCTTGTACACCCGTGGTAGCAAACCAGGAGGGAGTCCCATGCGGAAGGCCCGTCTTGAAAGGGAGCCGCCAACCGTCCTTGTCTCCGTTCGCGGCGTCAAGGCGAGCACCAAATGCTGGAAACGAGCTGCCCTCCATTCTCGCAGTCGTCTCTTTCCGGCACCTCCCCCCTTCCTGCCGTCCCCTCTCCTCTTTCTTGCCGCCCCACCCCCCAAACTTGAGGACGGGCTCAGGGGACAGTCGCTGGTCTGAGGTGACGCGCTCGTTTACGATGTCGGCATGCCCCCCCCTCCCCGCCGCACCCAGGGAGACCTGCCAGGCAGGGCCTCCCACGATCCGATTCGGTGCGATTTCGATTCGATACGATTAGACATGGTCCGGTTCACCAGTACAGGTTGGGGCCAGCTGGAGCCGCGCGAGGCGATTCGATTTTCGATTCGCTCGGGACGATTCGCTGTCGACCTGATCCAACTCCGATGCGATCCCGTTTTTTCCGATTCGATTCAGCGCAGGTCTGATGGCCCCCCCCCGTCGCGCCCCCCAGGATCTGCTGCAGCGCTGCCGGGACCTATCGGAGCCGGAAGGTGGGACAGTCTCCAGGCTTCCCAGAGGTCCAGTTCGGCCACGCGCAGAGGGGGGGTAGGGGGAGGGGGGAAGACTTCTTAGAGAAGCACCCCTGCTTCTCAGAAGTCGTGGGCCTTGTCTGTAGATGTAAGGCCTGCGCCTTCTTAGAAGCAGCCTCCTTCTAAGAAGCAGCCTCCCTCTGCGCGCCGCCAACCAGTGGGGGCCACCTTGGACCATCCTGGACCATCGCGCGCCACCCTGGCGCGCTGTCCTGGAGGCCGCCCCGCCCCGTCTTGCCGCCGCCAGGACGGTGGCGCGGAACACCGGTCTTGCGGCCGAGGGGCGGGAGGGGCCGAACCGTTCTATCACAGGAAGTCCGTCTTCCCCGAAGGTCAGGGCGGGGGGGGAGTTGGGGAACGCCACGGGGAAGCGGGGGGCAGCGGGGGGGCCGTGGCGCGGCGCGAACATGTCATGGTTGGCGGAGGGGGCATTGGGCGGAAAGGGCACTGGGCTGCTGGGGAACGCTGTGGGGTCGGGTCGGAGAGGGGTAGTGCGCGGAGAGGGCATTGGGCTGCTGGGGAACAATCGGCTGCTGGGGAACGCTGGGTTGCGGGGTGGGGCGTGTTCGTGGCCCCGCTGTCGCCGTTTGTGGCCCCCTCGCTGCCCTGGGTGGCCCCGTTGCTACCCTCAGTGGCCCCGTCGTTGCCCTCTGCGGCCCCGCAGTATCTGCCCTTCGTGGCCCCCGCTCGTTCGCGCCTTTCGGGGCCCCATACGCATTCCCTTTCGTGGCCCCGCTGTCGCCCTTCGTGGCCACCTTGCTGTCCTTCGTGGCCTCATCACTGCTCTTCGTGGCCCCGCTGTCGCTCTCGCTCTCGCTGTCGCTCTCGCTCTCGCTCTCGCTGTCGCTCTCGCTCTCGCTCTTGCTCTCGCTCGTCGTCGTCGTCGTCGTCGTCGTGGTCGGTCCCTTGTCCGTCCCTTTTGGGGTCGGGCTGCCGCCAGTCAGCGTTGCCGCTGGCCAGGCCGACGGTCCGCGGCCGCTCCGCTGTTTGCCGAGGCCCGGCCTGCATGGAAGAAAAATCTACCCCCAAAAGAGGTACGATCGAAGACGAAGAGGGCGGGCATCGAGGGTTTGGGAAATACACGTTGAATGTCACTCGAGCAGATAAGAGCGAACAGTCTTAACATGATTGTTGTTGTTGTTGTTGATGTTGTCGTCGTGGTCCCACAGCTCAGTTTGGTGCCCTTCGCTTTCCTTTGTAAAACAACAGTGTGCGAGCCACCGGAGAAACACTTGAACTGAAAACTACAGTGATTACCAGGGTAGGGGGATCAACAACGAGTATGCAGAAGTGAGAATACAACAGCAACACCACCAACAACAATGACTACAACACCAACACCAATCATTTGAATGCTGTTGGCTCTTACTAGCTGGCAGGCCACTCGACACGTATATCCCAAACCGTCGGTGTTCGCTTTCTTCGCCTTCGATCGTGCCCCATTGTGTATATATGTAGGTCTTACCTGCGACGTGTATTTCGTGCAGCCCCTAAGGCAGAGGAAGAAAGGACGGATGGAAGGAAGGGGCACAGGGGGATAGAGGAGCATGGAACACGAGAAAGAGAGTAGCAGGAAGGGGGACTCGGAGCAGAAAACACGTGGCAGAACCAGACGGGCAGATCGGGCGGGTAACCCGCAACGGGCGGGTCGGGCAAGCGGGCCCAGGCGCCCAGGTCGGGCGGGTTGCTGAAGCGTGCTTCCTGCATGGATCGCGAAGAAGTCTCGAACGATGGCGCGATTCCCAAATGGATCGTGAGGAAATGCGCAACGAGAGCGTGATTCCTGAGTGTCGAGGGCGCGGCGTCTGAATAAATGGCGAGGATGTCCCACACGAGAGCGCGACTCCTGTGTAAATCCCACGCGAAAGCGCGATTTTGAATACAGTGTGAGAGAGTATCAGGCGGGAGCCGTTGTTTTTTGTAGTTCGGGGGCCAATAGCACACTTTGGTACCCCCTCGCTTTCCTTTGTAAATGTAAAAAAACAGGGTGGGAACCCCGGGGGAGGCACTATAGTTGAAAGCTACAGTGGTTACCGGGCAGGGGCATTAACAACAATGACTCTTCAGAAGTGAGAGTTCAATGACAACAACAATCACAACAACAGCATCAGCTACAACAACACAAACAACAGCAACACCAATACCGCCACCACCATTACCACCAGCACCAACAGCACCAGCAACAACAACAGCATCAACAACAACCACAATCATTTAAAACAGTTAGTTCCTACCTGCTCGCCGGCCAGTCAACACGTATATCGCAAATCTTTGATGCAGGGGTAAAATTGATCCTGGGCTCGGGGCCCACGGCTCCCCCCCAGATGGAATGGGTCCTAGGGTTCAACGGCCCCCCCCTGATGGAAAGGGGGGCCAACC